CAGTGTCTTTTTAAACATTTAAGTATTTATTAGGCACCTACAATGTACTTAAAAGTACCACCTCTTGGAACATTTCTTTATTTTACTGCTTTATTAAGGTTTAATTCAACAAACTGCACTTGTTTAAAACGTACAATTAGATGAGTTTGTCATACGCCTACCTCCTTGCATTAATAGGCACAATCACAATAGTGAACTAACATTTCCCTCGTCCCCAAAAGTTTCCTTCAGCCCTTCCTGTCCCCCAGACCTGTCCCCAGGCAGCCAGTAATCTACTTTCAGTCACAACAGACCTCTATAGTTGACATTTTCCAGAATTTTATATAAATGGAATCATACAGTACATCCTCTTTGTTGCTGCATTTTTTCAATCAGCATAAGGCATTTATGATTCCTTCATACTGTTGTGGGGGTTTTCCTTTTCATGGCTGAATAATATTCCAGTGTCTGGGTTGACCACTGTTTATTCCACTCACCTGTTGGTGGACATTTATTTTGTTTGTACCTAGTTTAGGGATGTTATCAATAAAGCTGCTGTGAACATTTGTGTACAGGTCTTGTGTGAACATGTGCTTTTATTTCTTTTGGGTGCATGTATTAGTTATTGATTTCTGTGTAACATACTACCCCGAAACATGGTGCCTTAAAACAGTAAACATTCATTATCTTCCACAGTTTCTCAAGGTCAGGAATTTGGGAGTGACTTAGCTGGATGGTTCTGGATTGGGCCTCTCATGAGGCTGCAATCAAGCTGTTGGCCAGAGCTGCCTCACCTGAAGGCTCCACCAGGGCTGGAGGAGAACTTCCAAAATGGCTCGCTCACATGGCTGTTGGCACGAGATCTCAGTTTTATTACATATGGCTCTCCAGGAGGATAGTCTAGACTTCTGTAAAGACTGCTAGAAGAGCAAGCAAGAGGGAGCCCAAGATGTAAGCCAAAGACATTTCATAACCGAATCTCTGAAGTCACATCTGCCATATTCTATTTTTTAAAAGTGTAACACTAAATTCAACCTACATCCGAGACAGGAGGCGAATTACACAAGGCCATGAATGCCAGGCAGTGGGGCTCACTGGGGGCCATCCTAAAGGTTATCTACCACTGCACTCTAATATTTAAATATGTATTTAAGCAAACATTAAGCTTCTATTGTGTACTTCACAAGAACTGTTTCCTTGGCTATTTACAACAGCTCTCCGCAAAAAAAACAAGCAAAACTAAAACCAAAAACTAATATTATGATCACATGATTTCACTTATATGTGGAATCTAATGAACAAAATAAACTGACAAACAAAATAGGTCCAGAAGCATGGATGCATAAAACAGACTGACAAATCTCAGAGGGGAGGGGGGTGAGGGGAATGGGAAGAGATTAAAGAACTTATATACATATATGCATAGCCCACGGACACAGACAATAGCGGGGTGAAGGCCTGAGGTGGGGCAGGGGCTGGGTGGAGGGGGG